GAAGAGAAGAGGCAGGCTTCGGACAGGCCACAGAGAGGCCGCGGCAGGCCTGCCGGCTGCCGAGGAGGGTTTGAGGGCGGGGCCCCGTGGGTGTCTAACGTTGCCTTCGGAAGCCCAGAGAAAAAGCTTTCTGAGCCAAGCTGCGGCCTTTGTTTGGCCAGTGCAGGGGTGATGCCGACGCAGTAGGGCTTTGAAGGCGGGGGTGGCTGCTTAACGTGGCATGCTGGGGCTTTCGTTTGCACTGCCACCCGTTCCACCCTCCGGTGTCCCTGGCGCCGCCCCGCTTAGGCAAGGGCTAAGCAGGGGTCGGCGGATATTGGACGCAAAGTACGGTGTTTCTGGTGACCACCCCCAAAACCTGATTGAATGTCCTGACCAAATGATTTTGGAAGTCAGAACATGGAAGATTCCACCTAAGCAACTTTAAGGCCAAGATCCATCAGTTTATTTCACATTCGTGGCATGGATCACCGTGGAAGAAGATCGCCATGCTGCTGGTCTTGAAGAAACTTGGCCTCCACTGGCCCCACCAGACTGTTGTATTTTTTGTGGATGGGCTGAAGTCAACAGGCTTGGACGCATCCCTCACGCGTCAGGCCCGGATGACGTCATCCCTGGGTGCAACACGGGCAGGGGGCAGAGCCACTACCCCAGCTCTGCAGTGAAGGGGATGAGCTAGGGTGTAGTGGATCCTTACGAAAGCAACTGTTTGTAGCACCACTACCAGGGCACCCCATGGGCTCGAAGGGGAGAGTGTCTTTTCCCAGACGCTCCATGTCGGGAGTTTATTACCTACCTCAGGGTGGTTTCAGGGGTCAATGTAAGTATACATGATCCATATGTGGAGTGTTTGGGTACAGTAGGATTATAGACAATTGTTGTTGGAATTGTTTGTGTGTGTATTTTTTGGTTGTTGCTTGTGTGGCTTTTGGCTTGTGTGGCTTCTGTGGCTTTGGGCTTTAGGTGGTTTCTGTGGGTTTCGACTTTGGTGGCTTCTGCCACGTGGCTTTGGGTTGGCTTGGTTTTTGATGGCTTGCTTTTGGATTTAGATGGCCAGGTTTTGATAACACTTTTTTTGCATGTTATAGCTTTTTGCCAGCTTGGCACTTACTGTAGTTTGCTCTTGGAGGGAGGCGCTGTGCCCTCCCCGCAACCCCCTCCAGCTCAGCAAAGCCAAGTCAACCAAGCATACTAAAAATAAAACTAACCCACACCCGAACTAAAGCCAAGCCCAAGCAAGCAGTTTTGGGTAGGGTTTGGGGTAGGGAATGACCCGTCGCCGCCACTGAAAAACTGCACCCTCCTTAGAGGCACCAGGGGACTACACTGCGTTCCAACACAAAAAAACATAGGGAGCAACCTGGCAAAAGACATCGAAAAGACAAGGAGCAAACCAATCCAAGACTAACATTGCAGCCTTATAGACTTGCTGGGAAAGGACAATCTTCGAAGGAACCCAGTGCCGGCATGTTTCGGAGAAAGAAGAAAGGAGAGAGAGAGAGGCTGTGCAATAGTCACTAGTCTTTTGAATCAATAGCCCAGACAGTTTACACTTTATTCATTGAACTCATTACTTCATTGTTTCACAGTGCCACCCAATTACCAAAATAAATCACAAGTACAAACTAAACAAGCATAAACATGTACATAAACATCCCAGTGGCAGGTCAAGCTCATTCAAGCTCCAAGGAATCACAAAAAGGGACGCCTCCTAGTCAGCAGTGCCAAAGAGCGCCCTTTTCTGATTAACGGTGTTTCATTAATCAACCGTGTACATTAGGTGGCCAAACAAAGATTCATTTTTGACGAGTCCTACATGGCATGTGACCCGTGAGGGTCCCAGACAGCTGTCTGGGACTCGATCCAAAGGGAGGGATCCCATCCGTGGATTGAAACGGAGTGGCAGAACAATTGAACCAAGACACTTCATCCGTAAACGGGGTCATCAATCGACTACTCCTGCTGAGAAGTAGGCACAAACACAGAGGTAGGCACACACGCACAAGTAAGATTCTTGGGGGTGGAGAGATTTGGAGAGGGTTCCACTAAGATCATTTGATGTTTTGAGAACACAAAGGAATTCATTAGAGCTCTCAGCGTGCTGTTGATCAAGAATTAGGCTCAGGCATCCCTCAGGCATCCCTGTTTTCGTTGCTTCTACTAACTGTGGCTGGATGTCATCTCCATGTCATTTCCGGAGGAACGGCTTGGGAGCTGCCATAGTCGGAAGTCTCCTAGCGTTGATCATGGTCCTCTTGAGCAGTCTCAACTTGCTGCCTGGCTATCCTCGGCAGCCCTTGATCGAGCCAGACAGGACCAGTGAAGAGAGACGAAACATACACCTGATACACCAGGCAAACCAAATGGAACGGTTCCAGGGGATGTTGAATTGGCTTATCAAAAAAACAGTAAAGAACAGTAATATTATATATGTTTTCGCTATTTGGCCATTTGGATATTTTCTTTGCCAGCCGACTCCGTTCCTGGCGTTGCTTGTGCCAGGACCTACATTTTTGCGCCATGGGGCCTTGGTGTGGGGATGCTGTCTGGTTCAATTGTGCTCTTCTTCAGCGAAGCGCGTCAATCTGTCTTTTTTGACAAGATTTGCATCCACCAGAAAGACGTGCGCTTAAAGTTTGAAGGCCTGGGCCGTGATTTCTGTATACTGTATTGTTTCATACTGGTGTTTCATCATCGAATACAACTGGTGTGCAGTTTAATGTGCTTGTAAAATGGCAACGCCTTGGGCTCTCAGGTGTCATCAACATTTGCGCCTTCTTGAAGAACTCAGAATCGTTGTTGGTCTTGTGGGATGCCACATATGTGGAGAGGCTTTGGTGCGTCTTCGAGTACCCGAGATGCGATTAGTGAATCCCGCTGGAGAGTAACATGGAACCTCAAAAGATGTCGAATCGATGGTCCCTCAACCTCCAATGTTTAGGTTCTTTGTTGGCCTTGGAGTGTAAAATCAGTTCATGTTAAAGTCTTACGGGTTGCAATGTCGAAACTGCCCAAATAGTTGCTGTTACTTGATTCTTGCATAGCCGCAAGAACCCTTGGAGTCCAAAACCTTGCATTTCTTACACAGCGCAGTCTCCGAGTCTCCGAACGTGAAATAGTTCTTACCTCGAGCTCATGAGGTTAGCTGCTTTCATGAAAAGCAGCGAAGATGGGGGGCGGAAGTTGATCATCAAGCCCACCATCCTGGGTCCAAGTTCCATTGCATCCTGCATCGGCTTATTTGCCATGCAGCTCTCACAGACTGCGGTTCCTTTCGAAAATCGCCTTCACGGATTTCTCCTGTGGTCGTTGGTTTGTTGCCTGGGCTTATTCTCAGCTGTCTACGTTTGGAGGAGACGCTTGGGTTGGAAAACCAGAACAAACCGGATGGCATCCCTTATGATCACATCCACCGATTCACGAGAGAAGCAAGACCGAAAGGCACCGTTTTTCATGCGGTCGTTCCCCTTCATGTGCACAAATGTTGCAGGAGCTATTACCGACAGATTGACAAGATGAAATCTCAACTGCAACACTTTCGTATCGACCAGACGAAAGCGCATTGCTGCGAGCAGGGCCATGTGGACCAGCATGGCCGAAGGATCCCTTGTGACAAGGAGACCATCAGTGAATCTTGACCATCGTTTTTGATTTTTGCGTCTGCCCTCCCTCCAAACATGGAAGTGTAGAGTGTCGAGGACCAATGTCTTTTGAGGGACCACTTTCCACTTCCAATCGTTGGAGGGAGGGTCAGGATGGAAACAGAGGGTCTACGGAATCCTCCTGTTTAACTTGAGTTGGTCCCCGTCGACCAAGACCGGTGGAGTTCATCCAGTCCCGGGATCCTCACCTAGACCTTCCAAGATTGACCGACCTTGGAGAGAGACCGACCTTGGAAGGAGTCGACGTCTGGCAGAGATGCCCTAACCTCATGGCGAGTCGCGGTGTTGGGGACCCGAATCCAATGCGGGTCGCGGCATGTTTCGGGCGTACCCAACATCTTTGCAGGGGTGAAGAAGCCCTCAAGACTCAGAGTGTTTGCTGGCGATGAAAACACCCGTTTTTATGTCCGCTCCCTTTGCTGAGGAATGTATCACGCACTGGTTTGGCTCAGTGGAAGCCTTTGAGAGATCTGTACGATCCAATGTGGCTGTTGCATTGACGCAAAGCTTGGGGAACCTGGTCTTTCCCTACAAGTACCCGGGATTCTGTGAGTGGTTGCTCTTGTACCTGACTTTGGGTGGCTTCTTGCGCTCGCTTGTGCTTCCTGTTGTTTTCATGAATAACAGAATAGAACTCATTTTCACTAGGAATCCATCCGTGTGTGCGACAACCTGAGGGCAACCTCAAATCTTTGTGGCAATTTTTTTTGGTGAGGTACTTGCTGGCGGCCGGAGCACCTTCTCTATGGGGTCAAGCAGACTTTATCGCTTCGCGCTTGAGAGAGGAAGAGTATTATTATGCTGCTGTGACGGCTTGCTTTGGCCTCTCCTATTGGTTCGCTGTGGCTATGTGTTGAGACCAACATGCTTTGATCATTTCTTCTAATCCTTTTTTGGGACTCTGCTTTGGACCTAAAGTTTTTGTGGCGTAATCAGGTTCATGAAAGTATTGCAGAATTCGGAATTCATTTGGCTTCATGCCACTCCCCACATCGCAGACCCACACTGCCCCAGCAAACTCAGGCAATTCCCTTCATCTTTGCCTGCGGTGGTCTTCTGAACTACAAGCTACGGCACCGGTGGCTATGGCTCAAAAATGCACTGCCATCCCTGCCATCCATACACCATTTATGGATTGATATTGATATATGCGAATGGAAGTGCAGCGACACGTACAGTGCAACTTGTACATATGTATGTACCATATGTACTTTGGCTCAAGGATCAAGCGACTAGAAAAGGTGCGGTTTCCGTTCCGACGCTACGCCGCTTATGGATCGTCAGTGATAGCTTCAAACTTCGCTGATTAAGATCCACTCGCAGGTTATCAGCCGTACGCGCTCTTTATAGCCGTACGAGCTACACGAGACCAAGAACAAGACTAGTCATTACAGAAACCTGCAATGTCAAGCTCAGGAGGAAATGGAAGCGAACCCTATTCATTCGCTGCTCCTGGTGGTCCCAACACCACTTCGTCACCAGACTCTACAATGGGTACTGATTCATCAGCAAATGCTGACGTTATCACTATGCCTACTGGATCACAAATCTCGGAAAGATCCGTGCCACCGGCTCGGAATCTGACCGATCTTGCACCCGTAGGACCAAGAAGATCGATGAGAGCTACAACAAGATCTACATCGCCTATAACGTCTACCGCGAGATCCCCAAGAAGGAGTATAGAGAAGAGACGTGACGATGATAGAGGAACAAAAGAGCAAAGAAGAGAGATTCAGCTGGGTGAAGAATTGAGATCGGCGAGAAACGCATACAATTTTCTTCATGAAGAATATGAATGCATCCAAGCCGGATACTCACGACTACACCACGAGGCTGAAGTGGAGTTCAGGCAAATGTCTGACTACAACAGGAAGATGCAGGAACATCTACAAGAGATGACACAGGAAGATGAAGGAGCGACAATAAGAATTGAAGAGCTCGAACACAAGCTACGCTTGGCGGAATCGACAGCTGAACATATCTACATGAGATATCAAGAGCTTGCACAAGAAACTCATCAAGAACATTCAGAGCTTGAATCTGTGAAAGCAACGAAGGACAGAATGTCCCAAGAGCTTCAAGCAGCAATTGGACACATCCAAGAACAGAATGAATCTTCATTGGCGATCAATAGAAGATCAAAAGCCATTCAGGATGAGAACACAGCCTTCGTCGGAATAGCTGACCAGATACAAGCTAGAATGATTGCGCTACAGAATGAGAATGTCAACATGCACGAGGTGATCCAACACCAGAGAGAAGAACAATGGAACAGTGAGGTCAGGGAAAGACGTCTTCAACACAGTGTTCACTCATCTCAAGATCAGAGCAATCAGGAAGCTATGGTTATTGATCATCTACGAGGTCAACTAGCTATGGCACGTGGAGCTGAACTCAACGCGAGAGCGGAGATAGAAGAGATGGAAGTGGGCATGAGGATGGAGATATTTGTATGCCAGACTGAAGTCTCTGCTAAAGAAATGGCAGAAATGAAGGCGAGCCACCATGAATACGAAGCAAACGTCGCAAAGGAGGTTATCGCAAAAGGAGAAATATTCAACAACGAAGTCCTAGAAGGTTCCATCCGTGAACGACAACAGTTGAAAGACGCCAACCTCGCTCTATCCGAAGCCAACGCACAGCTGAAAAGAGAGAATATGATGAGAGCTCCTATGTTCGGCGATGATGGTGCTGAAATTCAACAGAAGATCAGAGAACTGGAGAATGCACTATTGGAAAGCCAGAAGGAGACAAAGAATGTCATTATGGAAAATGCGAAATTAAAAGCAGAAGCACGAATGGCACCCATAGTCTCTCGGTACAGCAAGCGTCCTAGTTCCAGAGACCGCGGGTTACCAACCCACGCGTCCGAGGAAGATGAGATTCGGAACGCAAAAGAGGAGGCGAAGCACTACAAGGACGGGTACAATGAAATGACAGAGAGCCGAGATGAGATGTATGAATGGTATGCCGAAACCCACACTGAGTACGCCGAGGAAAGGGAGAAATCAATTGAGCTATCCGAGGCGAACAAATCATTGAGGGACAAGATTTCAGAAGCAGAAGCATCCTCTTCATCTCATCTTGCACCGGCAACCTCTACAATCATGAAAGTATCGAGGAAGGAAGAATCAAAGATAAACGTTCCGTCATGGCCCAGGATCAATGATCTTGAACTATGGAAGGCAAATCTCATTCAATCGATCATCATTGCGGCCAATGATTCAGATCAAGAGCCCTGGATCGACTGGATCAAAGAAGCCATGGACGATCCTGATCCGGACAAGTTTGTCGACTCAGGAGACCAAAGATTCCATTCAATCGATGCCAAACTCGGCCTAGCTCTTACCAAGGTCGTCATGGATGCGAAAGATGATGGTTCAGGTGTAGCTATGAAGTTGAGGACGAGGATCAATGCAAAAGGGAGAACATCAAGCCTCATAAAGGGAAGAGAGGTCCTAGCCCTGATCCTTATGAATTTCAAGACAACATCAAATGTGGAAGTCTTATATACTTCAATGCACCTCTACCAACTAGAATATCAAGGAGACAAGAACTTATCGTTGTTCTTCCACACTTGGGATGAGATTCTGGCAGGAATGAAGCCCGTTGACGTCCCGAGCGACGAAACTCTTCGGGATCTCCTATGGAGAAAGATCAGGAACTCAAACCTCATGGCATACGACATCAGCGCCTACAACAGCATGAACGACGATGATGCCAAGAAGACATACAAACATCTACGTGATATGATCAGAAGGCACATCGAACGGCAAACTGAAGACAGGATGATCCTGGAAAAGGAGAAGGCAGTGAAGAATGTGGCCAATATCTTTCAGAATCTCAAACCAGGCGGACCTGCTCCAAAACTGAAAGCTGCACCAGCTGATCCGAAGAAGAAACCAAAAGGGCAACAAGAACAGGTTGTCTCAGAAGACGCTGCTGCAGTGAAGCCGAAACCCAATCCCAAGAAGCATCCTGAAGACAAGAACAAAAAGGGAAAGGGGAAAGGTAAAGGTGATGGAAAGGATCGCAGCCGAAGTCCGAGTACAGACAAGAAGAAGATACCATGCAAATACTTCGTGAAAGGTAACTGCACTATGGGGAAAGATTGCCCATTCAGTCACAAGAAACCCAGATCACCATCCAGAGGATCTTCTGTCGGAAAGAATGACAAGCCAGTATGTTGGATGTGGATTCGAGGAACTTGTGACAAAGGGAAGGATTGCAAGTTCTACCATGACCCAAAAGCCTCTCCTAAGAAAGGGATATCTGCACCAGCTGACTCAGGAGACGATAGGCCAAAGCCCAAGGCAAAACCCAAACCGAAGCCTAAGGCGAAGCCTGGAGCCCCAGCCATTGACGGTGAACTCTTCATGGACGAATCCGAAGATGAAGGGATTGCTGCATCCGCCAAGGCAAGAGAAAGAGGTGCAAAAGTATCCTTTGATGAAGAGACTTGTGAGATCATGTTGAACGAAGCGATCTACTCAGTCAGGAACAAATGGAAGGTAGTAGAAAGGAAACCTCTACGTCCAGACATCAAACGATACGATGAGAAAGAGCTCACCTGCTACACGAGGAAAGAACAAATCAGATTTGAAGAAAAGGTCGCAGAGGCAAGAGGCATATTGATGGTCCCCTACACTGAGATCAAGAGAGTCCGAATACCAGTTGGACCAAAGGGTGACCTAGCGGTCACTATGTCTTTTGACGAAGATGACGGCCTAGTTTTCCATCATAAAGTCATTCCTCATGTATGCGAGGGAAAGAAAGATCATGCAGACACAAAGACATTGTCTATTCCAGCCAAAGGGTCAAGAACAAAGTTCATCATGGACACAGGATGTGGGGATGATTTGATATCGAAAGGCAGAGCCAAGAAATTAGGTCTGGAAGTGAGAGAAAGCGACCAATCAATGTCATTCTATACCGCAAATGGAGTGACACCCACAAAGGGAGTCGCCGACATTCATTTCGACGAATTTGACTCTACCTACTCCCCATTCGTCTTAGATGAGTCTCCTTCAGTACTGTCTGTTGGAAAGAAATGCATGGAGGAAGGTTACACATTCATATGGCCAGCCTGCGGCAACCCGTACATGGTTTCCCCGAACTACAAGAAAATCATGTTAGAAGTAGAGGGAAACATCCCATATATTGTCAAGGGCAGTGACTTCTGTAACCCCACCGACGATGTAAGGGCGGAGATGATCGCAAGGTTCACCCTAGGAGAAGGTGAAGCTGATTACCAATCGGCTTTCATCAACTGTGATGTGGATCCTCAAGGCGTCATGTGTGATGATGACGACCTCCCTGTGATTGAGCCTCCAAAAGTCAAAAGACGAAAGAGGAATAAGAAGTTCAAGGCATCTCCTGGAGAAGAAGATGAGGTAGGATCAGATGTCGCCGGAGACAGTGAACCAGAAGCTGACGATGATGATGCAGATGACATCGAGGTGGATATTGTTGACGGTGCAAGCAGAATGGTGAGAAGAGGAACTCTGAAAGCAGATGCCAGGAAAATCGAACATCTACTCACACACCGTTACAAGAATCCCTACTGTGAGTCATGCATCAGAGCAAAGATGAAACACTTCAAGACGCATCGAGGAGCGTTCAAGAGAAAGCTCAAAGCTTTTGGGGATCTGGTTACCTTTGATTTTGTCGATACGAGGAACATCCTTGATCAAGGGATCAGTACTGATCGAGAGATCTTCGTCATTCGTGACAGGTACACAGGCGTCATATGGGCCTATCCGTCGAAAGAAAGGTTTGCCAAGGACGTGGTCAATGCAATAAACCACTTCAAAGGATTGAAGAAGATCAAGATTGCTTATGCCGACAAAGCCCCAGAGTTTGAGACGGCTATGAAGCAGCTGAAGATCCCATTCGATCATTCTCTACCGAATCATCCTCAGAACAATTCTCTGGCGGAGAGGAACAATCAGTTCATTATGATGACAACCGCAACTTGCCTCTTGGAAGCGGGATTACCACCATGTTTCTGGAGCTATGCAGTAGAATGCGTCAGCCATCTTTTGAACATTGAGGAAGGAGAGGACGGAGTGAGCCCTTG